CGGCACCCAGGCTGCCTTGTGCCATCTAAGGCCGGCGCCCCTGGTGGGTACGTTCTGTGCCTCGTGTGGCTGGGCAGACGGCCAGGCTGGGTCCCAGCCCCTCCTCTCCCCTCTCCTGAGCGGGGTCCCACCTGCAAAGCCCTCTGGGTGGGAGAGGGTCACACAGCAGATCTGTCTTTGCATTTCGGGGGGGGGCGTGCCTCAGGAATGGGCCTCCCGGTGACTCTGGGCTGGGGCTCCAGTCCAGCAGGAGGACTCTGCTGTCCCATTCAGTGCACACTGACTTGTCACCAGGTGTCATGAGTGCGGAGCCTGGTCCCCAGCCAGCAGCGGGTGCCTGGGTGTCTGACTGTGGGCCTCACTGTGCCCCCCACAACCTGCGTGCATGTCAGGATTGGGGGCATTTTATATATGTCTTAGATAGATAGATAGATAGATAGATAATAGGTTTTTGTAACTACAAAACATGTGACAGGCTGTTGACTGGGACCCCCCTGTTATTCAGTGACCCTCCTACAACTGGTTACTGAATGTCCATTAGGGGTGCATCTACCTAGATTCCTCCCCGTCCTCAGCGAGGTATTATTCTGCTCTTGATAAGGGGGATCCTTGAAGAATCTTTGATCATGTAGGGGAACCTTTAATAATGCTATGATGTTGAGTGAAAAATAAGATTTAAAGTTATATGGAGTACAAGATGAATTTAAACTATTGTAGAATGCAACATTATAAGATAACTATATATAACCTATACTACATATTATCATATCATATAGAGAAAGATGAGTAGAAGAAAATACCGTGGAGGGGAGGTTGCCGAAGCTCACCGTCCTTGTCCTTGGTGGGTTGGACTCGTGACGCCTCTCTGCATTGTACAAACGTCTGCAGTGACACACGTACAGCAACAACGGTAAGAACACCCTTTATCCCGTAAGCACACTGCTGCCTGTCCAGTGGCGACGCGGGCACCGCCTGCCTCAGTTTCCCTTTCTGTTTCCTGGGGGGGCTTCCCTCCCATCATGTGACCTCATGAATGGCCTCTCCTCTCCCACTCTGTGCTGGCCGGGTGATCCCATCCACATCTGGATCTCGGTGACTAAGGGCAGTGGTCACTCTCAGTTCCTGTGCTAATTCCTTTTCTGTATCTCCATCCAAGACTGTGCCCCAAACCCCAGACTGAAGTTTCCAACTGTGACGTAGATGAATCTTCCCAGGGGTCCCCAGAGCCTTCAAAGTCATCTGTCTAAAGCCAGCCTCTCTGCTCATCCCCAGAGGCTCCTCACGTGGGGGAGGGGGGCCCCACATGCTCCCAAGCTGAACAGGACTGTGGGGTTCACTCTTGCTGCTCCCCTCTCAGTCCACACTGAGCCAGATGCCAAACTGCCAGTTCCTCCTCCTCCTGGGGACACCGGTCCCCCGCTGGTGGCTTGACATCCGGGCTTCCATCCAGAGCCTCATCGTCTCACAGTTGGCGAGTTTTCAGGAGGGAAGGACAGTCGGATCAGGCTGCGTTTGGAGAGAGGTTCTGGCCGCGGGGGGTGGGGGCAGGGGAGGGGGGCGAGGCAGGGTGCTGCAGGCGTCACTGGGTCCTCCAGCCCCTCCCGCACGTTCCCTGGGGCTTATTTTAGCTCTGCAGCCAGGAAAAAAGCACTTTCATCTCTCTCTCTCTCTCTCTCTCTCTCTCTCTCTCTCTCTCTCTCTCTCTCTCTCTCTCTCTCTCTCTCTCTCTCTCTCTCTCTCTCTCTCTCTTTCTCTGGATTCTTACATTTTACTTAAAAAAACAGAGTAAAATAACTTAAAAAACCCCAAAAACTTCTACAAGCTGTAAAATCTTATCCCATTGATCTCTCCCTAACATTCAACGTTATTTCCTCCTGAAAGGTAATAAACCATTGAGAACTCATTAGCATATGTAGATAATTTGCATGTTTCCCCTGATGCTTGCTTAGGTGCTATTCTGTCTCCCCTCATCTGGAAATTTCTGCTCGTTTTGCCTAAATAATATGGACAGATTTAAGGTTGTTTTTATTGCTTAAGAGAACTTAAGGCTAGAGTATATATAAAACCCTTTATAAAGAAACATCTTCACTGGTTCTCACAGATAGATAAAGGGCCTGAGTTGATGGGTGCCAGTCACGTGCCCCGCCCCGGAGGCGCTGATGGGCCAGTAGACCTGCCTGCCAGCGGCACAGGGTCACCTGTCATGGAGTCTCTGCTCACAGGTGGGCGGTCCCATGTGGGAGAGCAGGGCTCCCTGCTTCAGCACAGTGCTGTGAAATCCCCGTTGGAGTGAGAGTGTCTCGGTCCACGGGGGTGCAGGGATGTGCCTGGTTTGAGTGTGGGGGAAACCTGGCGACGAATCCAGCTAAAATGAAAACCAGAAGCAGGGGTTCAGTTCATGTCTTGGGTGCCCCAATCATATCAGTTAGTTAGTGGAAATCACCCTGCATCTGTATTGTCCTGGGTTGTGTCCCTAGAATTTAGCACACAGCAGAGTAGGGAAAAGGGTTCAAAGCCCTGCGCTAAATGAATGCAGCTAAGCCCGTGGCAGGAAATGGCAGACAAGTTCAGGCTGCTTTGAGGCTCTTTGAGTGAATAGTTACTTGTGGTTTCCAGCCCTTGTTCAGAGTCAAGCAGTTGCTCCAGGCGACATGTGCTCAGGGCCCTGGAAAGCCAAGGGAGGGGACACGAATCACCAGGTGACAAAACGCTGAGTTTTAGCAGAACTCCAAGGACAGTGCTGTGTGGGAATAGGGCAAGACACCTCCTGCAGTGCCTGCTGAGGCACCCACGATGGTGATGAAACCTGCCTTCCCAGGCACGTGGGGTCAGGGGAGGGGGCGGCATGGCAGCCGGGCCCTGCCACTACTGGTCCCCTGGCCCAGCCTCTGAATGATGGAGAATGGATGGATAACCCTGACCCCAACAGGAATAAGAGGTCCACAACCCGACTAAAGATGCCTCCCCCAGTCCTTCGCCTGGCTGGCCCATCAGGACCCAGACACTTACATCATATGTGTGTACTTATAAATACATGCACATGAGTTGAGGGCTTCAGCTCAATAGTAACAGCCTTCAAATCTGCAGAGCTGTCTGATTTTAGGTGAGAAAAAACAAAATCTTGCCAGTACTTTTGCATCAAAGAGAGAAATAAACTTGCTAATTGAAAAATGGTTTGCATGGAGGAAAATATGGAGTTGCCAGCTATGCAAACTAACACATGCCTAGATCTAAAAGGAATCGCGCCAGGCCAGGAGGAAGCTAAACAAATTAGGATTATGAGGAAAACAGCCTTAGCAGCAAATTGAAAGCTCTCTGGTGCTTTAGTTTTATCCCAGGGAGGGCGGTTCTGACGTGATGAGAGCCCGTATTTGACGTCTCAGGTGCGTCTGTGGGTGCAGGAGGGTGGGTGCGCGCTCTCCCGCCCAGGTCAGGGTGGGCTTTTCATACCAGCTTTCGAATGCATGCCTCCTTCCCCACTTAGCGACCTGAGGACTCAGCACAGGGGAATCTTGTCCTGCTCTCAGCTTGAACTGCCCACGGCTAGGCTAGGTCTCAGAGCGGCTTTTACCGGCAGGGGATCATAATGAAGAGACCACGCGGCCCAGCGACCCGGGTCTGTGGCCGGAGGGCCGTCCCCAGAGTGGCTGCGCCGCGCGCCGCCTGGCGGTGACTGCGCGTGAGCAGCGCTCCGCCAGGCTCCGGGCCACTCTGCAGGCGAGAGCCGCGGCTTGGGGCGAGCCGGGGTCCTCCGGAGGCAGGGTCCGTCCTTGGCCCTGGGCAGCTCCGATGCACTTCGGAGGCCGCGTGCAGTGGGTAAAGGAGGAACGCAGTTCTGTGCCTGCGGGAACCCAGGACCAGTGCACAGCGCACATATCAGCGACAACCGGGACATCCTGTGCAAAGGCCCGGGGGCGACCTGCCTGGGGCGCGCGGTAGGGGCCGCCAGGGCAGAGGACCCGTTGGGGGCTTCGTCAAGTGTCGGGCAGATTTTCTCCAGAGAAATCCGCCGGTCCGCAGTGGCAGCCAGCGCCGCCTAGCGTCGGGGTCTGCAAGCGGCACCCCTCGGGGCCCCGCGCCCTTGACCCGAGTCAAGCCAGGCAGAGGGCGGACCCGGCGCGGTCCCGGCCGGCGCCCCCGGCCCTGCCCGGCGACAGGACGTGCCCGTCCCCTGCGCCGCCACCTCGGCCTCCGCTCGCCGCGGCGTGTGGATTCGGCCTCCGGCGCCGCGCGTTCCGTCCACAGGGGCCGGCGGCCTCCGGCGGCCCGGG